ATAATATCAAATGTAATCAACTTGCGTCTGGTGCAATTTCGTATTAATTGGTTGCTGAATTTGAATTCTGTGTTATTTCTTATTGCAGTTACAGATGTAAATGTAACATGACATAAAAGCACAGCGGCAAAATTAGCGCTTGGTACGAAGAATTTGCTCTCGATTTTAGAATATTATAGAAACAAGGCTCAAAATTTACAAAGATTATTTTGTGAGAAAAGTGTACGTAGTGTTCAAATACTATTGTTAAAGCAACATATACGGGGTGTTTAAAATTCGACCCTCACCACTCGCATTTCGAAAACTGTACAAGATACTAAGGCCCGTATCGTCAGTCGTCCCTACAATTGTAGGGCGCCTTTATGGCCTCCTTGATTGTCATAGTTTTCTGCTTCTCCGTGTCAGAACTCTATTTTGAGGTTATGTCACAAACATCTATTTGCATCAAATTGTGCTTGCTTTTGAGTTATATCATGTTTTATCAGCCTGAAATTTCCTACAATTTAAAAACATATCTTCACAATAGGAGAGCGCTGACGCTGACACGGGACAAGTGTAATCTAGAAATTTTTGAAGGAGAGAAAGGAGGATGACAATCAAGGAGGCCATAAACGCACCCTACAATTGTAGGGACGACTGACAATACGGGCCTAAGTCGCTTAAATTCAAAGCACTTCCGGAGAGAAGGCAAAAATCGAATTTTCTCAAAATCGTTTTAATTTTTTCCTGACTTTATTTGTAGTGGGATTTGAGAATAAATTGCACCTTAGCATTGCCACTTTTCTCCTCTACAAAATGGCATAATTAAAATTTCAGTATGATGTTTCGTCTCTTGTCCTAGAGCATCAACTTTATTTTTTCTCATAAACGCCATATTAGATTTTTGTATATGTAATACACTATACATTGACATTGACAAACTTTAGTTGATTAAAAAAAAAGAATTGCCTTGATATGGCTTGAAATTATCAGATATTCATTTGTTTCGCATAATAGATTTATCCCAAAATTACTTTTATCTTTTTCTTGCCTTATTTGAGATGGGATTTCAAATAGTGCGTGAAAGATGAAACGTTATAATAAGATTCCAATTATTACATCTTAAAGACGAAGAAAACTGGCAGTGTTAACAGGCAATTTATTTTGGAACCCGTCTCAAAAACAAAAGTGATTTCGGGATAAATCTGGTATGCGAAACAAATGACTGATAATTTCAAGGCCTACCTAGGAAATTTTGCTTTTATTAAGTAACTAAAATTTGTCGATGTCGATGTATGAGGTATTGTACATTTTTGGAATTAAAATTGAAAACTCTATTTAACTGTGCAAAAATCCAATATGGCGCTTAAAAGAAAAAATAAAGTTGATGCTAGAGGACAAAGGATGAAACGACATATTGAAATTCTAACCATGCTATCACGTAAAGCAGGACAAGTAATAATTTTGATGCACAATTTATTTTGAAATCCCAATATAAATAAAGTCCTTTTTCGGAAGTGCTTTGAATTTCGAAACTATATAAGCGGCATTTTGTTGATTACCTAAATACACAAGTTTGCCCCCATATGATCAGTTTTACAGTTTCCGAGATCAGAATGGTGATGGTCGAATTTGAAACACCCTGGATAAATGTTTAGGTTAAAACGGCACTGCTGTGTATTCTATCTGTATCTCTGTCCGTTACCGTGGCATAGTAGATATATATTTTTGTTTTGCTCGCATAGTATCTTCTATACGAAATTTAAAGCTAGTCAGAAATCTGACGAAGTAGTGAACTCAATTTATAACATGTGCTTAAAAAGAATGCCCTTGTGATGATTCCTCTACTTTTTAGAACAAACCTGCCGTTCTGAGAGACTCTTGGTCACAATATTATGGAAAAAACATACTACCATTTTATTTCACCGCGAAATGGTGTCGATATGTACGAAAATCTGAGTATACCAAACAACCACGATGTGTATATAAGAAGTTAGCACGATCAATTGAATACAAGGAATAGAAATATGTTATTAATACCTTTACATTTTAAGGATGACTACAAAGAATCATTTAGCTACAGCGCTATTAAATTGTATAATGATCTATTATATTCCAAAATTACACACTATTCAATTTTAAAAAGAGGCTTGAAATAAAACGCCACCCCGAGGTTTGATGATGAGCACAAAAGGCTAGAAATACGGACTATTCTTGTAATTGATTTTCTTTGTGTTGTTTGTCAGTTATTATTGAGAACTATGCCTATATTTCTATCGGTTGAATGTTATTATTATTTTTTTTTCGTTCTTTCAAAGGTTTTGTTGAAAAACTGTCTACTTGTCTATAGACACTGCATGTAATATTGAGTCCTTAAGGTACTGTAGAAGGCTACTGTTTGGAAAACCAACTATACCGGGTGTCTCAAAGTCGCTTGGATGGGAGCAAAGTTGCATATGTAGGCAATTAAAAATGCCGCCTGGAAATTCGAAATTCAAATTACTTCCGAAAAGAGACGAAAAAACCGAATTCTCCCAAAATAATTAATTTTTTTTTTTACCATATTTGTAGTGGGAGTCAAAATAAATTGCACATTAATTACCACTTTTTCTCTTCTACAAGATAGCATAAAGAGAATTTCAATGTGACGTTTCGTCTCTTGTCCTCCAGCACCAACTTTATTTTTTACTAGGCACGCCATGTTGGATTTTTCCGCTGATGAATAGAGCTTTTAATTCTGATTTCAAAAATGAATACATCATAATTTGACAATGACAAGCATTAGTTATTTCAAAAAATCTGAATTTCCCAAGTAGACCTTGATATTACCAGTCATATGCTCTGCATACCAAATTTATCCAAATTTCATATGGACGTCATATTTGAATTCTAGACATTTAAATGAACTTTTCGATCTTTAATTCAATTATGTATTGCCTTAGTTAGCCATGAATTTGTTGTCGAATGAAGTTTATAAGGAAATTAAAAAGGCATGATAAGACCTGAACACAAAATGAAAATTTAAAAACATAAATAAGCAGATGTTTAAAATATTGTCTGTTATTTTGCAAGCAAAGCGTGACCCTTTTTGTGTACGTTCCTCATTTCCCTACTTCTCAGTCTTCCAAACTCTGCCACCATGTTCAATTTGAGGTCTGGTCTGGTACACGAAACACATGACTATCTGACAATTTCAAGACCTACCTAGAAACTCCGGTTTTTTCTGGAATAACAGAAGTTTGGCAATATCAATGTATGACGTGTTACACATTTTTGTGTGCCTTAACAATGACCATCAGTAGATGAGTAGCAGTTGCCTTGAAAATCAACAGAAAAGACAAAGCCATACCTGCTGCTGAGGTGTTCTTGGCGAAGTCTTTCCTTTTTGTGTACTTAGTGTACTTACACACCCTGTAACTCGCAGATTAGATTTTATTCAAAATAATACAAAAGCAGCGACAATTTGATCAGAAACCATTCCCGGATTCCATATTCATCATCAAAATGAAAAAAATGTGAATAAATTCAGGCTACCGTTCAGTAGGTGGATCGAATCAGTAGCTATAGTATGTATTGCTCTTGCAATCAACTTCCAATAATAGGGTTTCTCGAGCAGTTATTTCTTTAAATATGCTATACTTGCAAATACCATTGATACTCCAACCTTCTGCCCATTTCGACTTTTGATCGAAATGGTATAGACGATATAATACTAAAGTACCAGCCACTTTGACAAGACGTTGTTCCATGAGACTTGCAATGACCTGATCTCATCACAAAGTGTGTAAAAATGTGTGTGATAATCGTCAGATGGCCAGTAAATCGATGGAATCGGGATTATAGGAACTGCATAATTTCTAATCAATGGCCAAAGAAGTCATAAAATCGTAATGGTATTCTGTCGTAAGCTCAAATATTTTTCCAACTTAAGCTTGATCACTCTGTAACTCGAAAACCGCTGATATTAGGAGACTTTTGATCAGACTGGTAACAACTGAAATTTCAGCAAATTTGAACAAGACCCATTTGCCGTAAGGAATGTGCGTTTTGAAGAACTTTCAACCTTAGAATCATAGCATTGAGAAAACGTTTGGGTTTCTGCGCTGTAATACATCGGGCTTAACTTCTTACCACAATGAAGTAATGCATACCTTAGAACCGGCGAAGTTATCCCTAAATTGATCATCTTTTTATAGCGACTTATCTTTTCAATTTTCTTGACTGAATTTTTGCTACTGCCGATGACAGTACCGCATATAAAGACAATTCCGTATGAGAAAGATATAATAATACGATCAAATCTGAATTCTGTACCAACTGAGGTGAGAGTATATATTCAAGGTCTCTATTATTTATCGTTGAAATGTATTTTGATTAGTTCATTGTTAATTATAATGCAAGAACCGTTATTCATAGATCAGTGATTTGATCTACAGGACTGAAAAAACTTGCAGCACCTTGCCATTGATAATTGATAGATATGTACAACATCGTAAGCATCCAAAGTTTCATTGGAAAAATTAGTTTGGAATTATTCGCACAGAAAAACTCAATTTGCACAAGGATATACATCATTTCATGAAAAAAGCTGTCGCAATTCTTTTGGATTCATATGAATGAATAAAAACAAGTATTCTACATTAGCAATTACTACTTTTTTATTTCTCATTTTGTTTGAAAGCACAAAAAATACTGCAACAGTTTCCTCAAAGACGATTATCACTCTTAACCTCTTAGTAAGTGACAAGGTTAATACTGCAGATATTGAAAAAATCTGTCAATTTATTAATATTATATTACTATCAAAGTAGTACATCAAAGTTGTCTAATAAAGTTTCATCAAAAGTAACAAATGTTGAATTCAAAAAACAAATCCTTGTTCTCCAGTATTGCTTGATAACCGTTTCACTATTGTCATATCGAATAATAAAAACGATTACTGGATGACTAAAGAAATGTAGTTTGACGTCTACAATTGTCAGTTTTATCAAACTCATACAACAAAAAAATGATATACTCACACGAAAATAAATACACAAAGCAATTTTAATACACTCATGTATCGAAAACAAATATGGCTATGATCTTGACTTCAACACAGATAGATAAAAAAACACAACAAAACAAAACAACACAAAACAGCCTATATGTCATGGATGGGCGTATGGAACAGATGATTCATGTATATCAACCAATCAATCCCTTTCTCTTTGGCACCAAATATCACCTTCACAGCTAACGCCTTCACCCACTTTTTGAACTCATCTCCCTTGTCGTAGTGATGGTGATGATCATGGTGATCATGGTGATCATGATCATCTTCATGGAAGATCTTATGCAATAACTTCTCTTTCTTATATTCCACTTTCTTCTTCAGCAATTCAAGGATTTTCTCCTTCACGGCTTCCTTAAGTTTCTCTTTGAAGTCTTTCTTGTAGAAGTACTTGGGCGGGTACTTGTCCAGAGGTTCTCTGTACTCGTGATCCTTGTGTTCGTGGCTTTCGTCATACTGTTTATGGTGTTGCAAAGACTCACGATGTTTGTGATGGTACTCAATGGGTTCTGGTTGATGCTGGGCGTGATGGTAAACCTTGTGCTCAGGAATCTGCTCATACTCGGGCCTATGGGAAGGTTCGTGATGATATTCGGGTCTGTGGGATGGTTCGTGGTGATATTCGGGCCTGTGGGATGGTTCGTGGTGATATTCTGGTCTATGAGATGGTTCGTGGTGGTGCTCTGGTCTATGTGTTGGCTCGTGGAGCTGTTCTGGTCTACGTGATGGCTCATGGTGGTGCTCTGGTATATGTGTCGGCCCATGGTGCTGTTCTGGTCTACGTGATGGTTCGTGATGGTACTCCGGCCTATGCGTAGTCACGTGATGGAGAACAGTTACCTGCTCTGGCCTGTGGGTAGTCACTTGGTGTTGAGGTTTGTAGGTCTGCTCAGGAATAAACACTCCACTATACCCATTGTTATGCGCGATCTGTTCACCTCCATTTTCAAGTCCAGGTGCCTTGATAACCACTGGAACCTCCTCCTTGGTGTACCTGTACACAGTTTCTGGCGTAACGGCGATCACTTGTTCTTGCGGTACCACTTCTTCGTAGGGAGGATAGGCGGGGAAGTACGCTTTCTTCTCTAACTCAACGTGTGCCTCTTTGGCAGGTTCGAAGATCTCCCCGCGGCTGGCAGCGATGAAGAGCCAAAGGATCGAGAGCACCACAGGGACCATTTCAGCAAAGGATGGACATTGAACTGATGACAAGTGAAGTGCAATATTAAAAGATTTAAAATATATACGGCTGGGTCTTGCTTGAATGGATAGATTATTAAATATGGTGATTACTGGTACGGTCGCCGGTGTTGGTACCGCGTGACCTTCAGAAGGAGTCGCAATCTTATGGTGGTAGGGTTCGAATGTTAATCAAGTTTTGTTATTCTAATATATACGCGGGCAATTAAGAGGCTTATTAGATCTTTCTAATGTGCCGTTTATAGAAAGGAAACGGCGGCTAGACAGCCGGTTACTTCTAAAGGAAGTAATAAAAAACCGGTCAAGTAGGTTAACTCGGTATTTTTAACCTATGCGCGTTTTTTGGCTTGAGATATAACTACTGTCTGTCTACCACAACAATAGCAACATGCAAAGCTCAGAATCCAGAATCCCACTTACGTACGATATGTTCTAAAAGCTTTGGCTCAAAATATTTATCGGATTTTTTTTAAAGAAGAAACTTATTTAAACACTAACTAGTTATCATAAATAACGACTCAATACTTAACTAAACTATACTATCGAACTATGTGGAGTGGCCAATTCTGCTGTATCAGACGCAACTTTCTTAAAATGTCTCTCATGAGGCCCTGGACGGAATTGAGATCAATTTCTCTAGTATTTCGTAAATTCGCCGTCCTTCTTCATTTTGGGCTTCCCAACCTTCATAATAAACCTTCCTACATAGTGAAGCCCAAAAATTCACTATTGGGAGATTCTGCGTTGGAGGACTCGTTTTTGGGAACAAAAGGTATGTTATGTTGTCGAGGCCAGTTTTGGGTATCTCTTGAGTAATGGCATGATATGGTCATTAGCATGATGTTCGAGAACAAACTGAAGAATTTGAAAGGGCAGTTATCAATATAGCTCGCCACCAACTCTTCCCACTAAAGGTTTGGATACACCCGTGTCAGAAATTGAGCAATAGACAAAGATTTTATCGGCAAATTTCACTTTATGTTTGTATCTAACATTGTCAGGGCATTCCTTCACATTGTCCGTATAAAATCCGTCGTTTCCCTTGATTTCAGAATTACTCAAAATTAAATACTGTTCGTCATGTCCTTGTTGACCTTCCGATCTGATTTTTTGCTCTTCTCACCAATTTCTCTGACCTCTGAAGAGTAAATGCACGTGGTCTTCCACTTTCTGGGAGATTCAGACATTGTATTCCCTGCTCACACTTCGCTATTGTTCTATATATGGTTCTGCGTAGTTTTCAGAGATATTTCTAGTATATACATATCTTTCCCAATATCGCATTTCAAAATTGGTATTGCGTACATCTTTCAGAAATATTGATTTTGTAATATTTCCCAATTTATGGTTGAGAGACATAAAATGAGGGATAAGGGATATTTCATTCTTATTTTTTCTGAAATATCATGAGATTTTATTCATACTTATTGGCTTATTGCGTCCATAGCAATATCAATATGATAGGTACGCATATGCACATCAATGGGTGTAGTTTTGAAGAAAAAGCCAAAAAAATGTGTTTTTTCAACTATTATACCGTTTTTTGAACGAGATAAACTTTTGATTACTTTGTGTTTTCCCGTTTCGTAAATCCATGATAAATAAATATCTAGCAAACAAAAGAAGACAGCTGCTTTTAGATTTGGCGCCATCAGAATTTGAACCTGCTGTGAAAGATGTCCGATGTTGGCAACTTTTTAGATCTAGCGGATGTCAATTATTGTACTTGGCAAAGGATTACAATTTCCGATAGCGCAGTACCTAGGTCTCCTCAGTGCAAAGAGATCGGCACGGGTATCATGTAAAAACACCTACAAACCGTCAAAAAACCTATAAGATGTAATCTTGGAGACTAGGTAGTTTTTAGGGCGCAAACAGTCATTCCACGTTTGCTCACTAGGATCGTTGTGAACGTCCATCTATGAACGAATCACTCAACTAAACTCCACGCATTATTGGTTGCATAGTTTTGTGACGCTGAGTGATCCGTGTCTGTAGTTTTATCTCTGAGAAGAAAGTTGGTTGAACAGCAAGATCGCATCTGGATGATTATGTGTATTGGTCTGCATGTGTATAAAATCAGTGATATTTGCTGTGTGAGAAAATCATTACTGAATATGTTGAATATGACGGGTCATTTATATGTTGTGCTTTCTGAAGAGAGGTTATGTTCAAAGTTATAAATTACGAAAAACTGAGAAGAATTACGGGAAATCATCACCGCGCCCGCGTTGTGTGTAATTACTGTTAGCATGTATATGGCTTGTACTTCGACAGTGTACCATGAATATAATTATTTCTGATCTCTCTCATTTTTGAAATTCAGCAAATTTGTACATGTAATTTCCAGAATGTATAAGAAAAAGTGGCTGCGCCATTAATTTTTAGCTTTCAATCTCGATTAAGTGTATTTGAGACAAGAATACAATGGAATTATCATCAACACATACAACTTACAGCTTAGACCTCCAGTAATGTCATCTATCACATAAAATCAGAGCCAAACATTGATAACTGAAGCCTCATGTCGTTTAGGCAACACGTACAACTAAGTGCTAAGTTAACATCTTGGCATAATGTCACTTTTCAAGATACGTGACTTCCGTACGGTTTTAGATAAATTGTCGAATCGCCAAATAGCCAGTGATACATGCTTATCTAAAACCTTAAGTGCTTGAGTTGACGTTTACGAATTTACTTGTGGCTTACACAATGCACATTGTGATTCATTAGGAAATTGAAAGTAAAAGTTGTTTTTCTTGTAAATGATTCAATGATTTATTTGACTTGCAAGGTAAGCATCACACATTCAATATCTTGGAGTATAATCAACAGTTGATAAAGTATAATAACAGTATCAGATTTGATTGTTTGATTATTAATATTTCCCAGAATAGCATGAAACAAATATTGACTAATAAATATTAATAATAAAATTAGATGATTATTGATTATATTGATTCTTATGGAATCTGGTAAAAGTTTACCTTAAAGTTCCTGGCCAGGATGATTACACTACTGATGAAGGGAAAGGAAAAAGGGATGTTGCGGAAGAAATTTAAAAAAAAAGCAAAAAATTGAGTAGATCCCCAATCAAAGTGGTGCAATCGAAGGAAGATGTTATGACACAAATGATGGGGCTTTTAACAAATCTAACTACGGATGTTAAGGAAATCAAACAGAACTAGGAAGAATGTGGAAAAGATGTGAATGCATTGTATGAGGAAGTAAAACAGCTGAGAAAATAACAAAATGAATACAAAAAAGAGGTAAAAATTCTTAGAGAGGAAAACCAACAGGTAAAGATAGAAGTGGAACAGTTAAGACAGAAAATCACCATAACTAAAGTTAAAATAGAGAAAATATAAAGTGAAAAACGAAGGAAAAACATTGTTATACAAGGATATCACTTAAATACGGGCAAAACAGCAAATTTACGAGAAAAGATGGCACGCTTTATTGGAGAAAAATTGATAGTAGCAGTAACAGTCAATGGAGCCAGAAAATTAGCAGAAAAGGTGTGCTTAGTAGAACTTAATAGCATGGACGATAAATTCAAAATAATGCAATAATTAATGGAAAGAACATGATTAACTAAAACTGAACGAGACATACAAAAGAAAATAAGAGACAAAGCAAACGAGGAAAGAAAGAAAGGTAAACACACTAAAATGGGCTATCAAAAACTAATAGTGGATAATGATGTGTGGAAATGGAATGCAGAAACTTAAAATGAAGATGAAACAGGTTATGGCAACGGAAACGAATAAGGAATATATAAACATAAAAAAAGAAGATTGCAGGATCGCATACATGACATTGGCAACCAGGAATATAAGAAGTCTAGATGGCAAAGAACCTGAGCTAGTTAGTGAATTTGAAAAATCAAAAATAGAAATTCTGGTAATAACAGAAACAAACAAAAAGGGAAATGGGACTGAAAATCTAGGCAACGGGCATATCTTAATATACAGTGGCGTAGATACAAAGGAAAGAGCTGCTGCAGAAGTGGGATGTATTATACACAGAAATAAGAGGAATTTCATACTGATATGTTTGATTTGAACAAATATTCAATATTGCAATAACCTGACACCATACAAAGTTATGACCATTACTTTGTAACATTTCGTTGTAATATTTATCAAAGAATCGAATATACGTACAAAAGAGGCCCTTTCAGATACTCTTAAAGATATTGCAGTAATATTTTGTAAGGATTCCGAAACATTACGATTATTACAATATAATATTTCTGAAAAATGCTGTGAGGTATGGGTTGTAGATATTGTTTTATAACTACTTCAAAGACTGGTAACATGAAATTATCTATTTTTAAGAATAGTGCTCAAAAAATGTTGAACACCCCCGAAATAGTTCAAACAACAGCAACCTAAAAAAATGGCTTCAAGTAGACTAACTTCCTACTTCCCAAGGCAAACATTATTTCTTGGTTTTTGATCGGCTTCATTCCTTAGAAACCCTAGTCCGATCAAAGCAATGGAAGGTGAGAAATAGGTTTCATCTACGTGATGATTTAGCTGACCGTCTAAAATATCTGCTTTTTATTCCAGATTATGCAGCGTCAAGTATTCTGTTGCAGTAGTACCGACTATTATGTGGAAAATAGCGAAACTCTGTCCTGTGTATAATAGTGGTGACAAAAATAATATTACTAACTATAGGCCTGTATCAATTAATTCTATGTTTGGCAATGATATTTGAGTTAATTTTGCACAGCCGCATTTATTCTGAAATTGAGAATCAGCTCTCGCATTATCAGAATGAATTCACTGCCAAATGATCTGTTATCACTAGTTTGATAATAGTCAGTTACTCAATAACAGTGTTACCAGGTCTATCGATTTTTCGGTAGATCTATCGATTTTGGTCCTGGTCTACCGAACTACCGGTTTTAAAGCAAAATCTAACGAAAAGTGGACTTTCCTTTCAATTGAATGATTTTTGTTTCCTTTATAAGATAAATATTTCTGAAGCATAGCGATAAAAAGAATGGCAAAAGTACGATTATTATTCGTACTAGACCAGATATATTTGTATTCTCTTTGCCTGACATTGGTGTGCCACATACGCTGATTCTTCTCATCTGGGGAATCACCGAAGATACTCGATGATTTGGCTACATCGCCTAGGCCTAGCGGCTCGTGACAAGTCCATGCCTGTATTATATGGTTTGTATGATTTCGTGTACTTAGTAATTTCGGATTCGGCCAGTA